CACACATGAGGCTTCAAGACCCCTCCAAAACTCTAGGTATGTTGAGGTCGCCAAAAGTGAGAAACGAAGGCCCAATTATGCTGATGATCTCCGTAGCGTGGGGGGAAGCCTCAAAAACGCAGCCAAAAATCATCCTATTTTTTGACCCCCAAAAACACGCCTCCAGGGCCTTCAACGGAGGGGGTCGGTGGACCGGGCCGTGCCCCCATAAGCATAGCCTAGCTAGGCGTGCATCCGCACTGGACCACGACGGCCAGGCCGGACTTAAGACCCTCCGGCTCATGCCACCGACCACGAAACGCGGAAGTCGTAAGTGCAGGCAAAGGCAGCCGAGCTGAGCGTCCGCGCCACCCACAATGGCCAACCGGCAGGAGCGCAACCTGGTGCCTGAGGGCGGTGCTGCAGCGAGATTCAGTGGAGAACACCGCAAACTTGTCATCATCCGATCGGCCAGGGCACAAGGAGGTCCAGGACCACTGTCTCTATTTCGCTTCCTCCCTCCCTCCCAATTTTTCCCTCTCTCTCTCTCTCTCTCTTTCTTTTTTGCTCTCTTTCCTCTGTCTCTGTCTCTGTCTCTGTGTGGTGCTGGCGACATGCAGACGTAAAAAGTAGTTGGCAAGCGCAGTTACAGCATGGCTTTCAAGAATGCGGTTTCCAACAGCTGCGTATCCAGGTGCTGGCGGAGCATGAGGAGCAAATGGCGCAGCAAGAAGAGCTGACCAGTAGTGCTTGTTGATTCAACAGGCTTGCTCGCTGTCGTGGCGTTCAGCCCTTTTCGGTTTTGGGAAGGAGGATATTCATGCCCACGAAGCCAACGAAGCGGACCTCACACATGCAGTTTCTAGTCACATGTTGCGCTCGCGGTTTCACTCCTCCACCGTGGAGGATTGACAGTAGGTAGAGTCTTCAAGTAGTGTTCAAGCCGCCTCGAATTCCTTCCAGATGGCTTGGACTAGTCCTAGCTCCAAATCTCACAGCAAAAGGCTGTGCTTGACTCTCTGCGTTCATGCGCCTAAAAGGTGGTAGAGACTGAGTTTCGATCGAGCGGCAGATTTATGCGCTGATGTGCCTTCGCTTTTTGAAAGGCCTGCCACCGCCTACCCTGCTCCGGCTGATTTGGGGCACAGGGACAAGGCTGCTGGCTATCACGCCGCATTCTTCTTCTTATGATTACTATTACTATTGTTATTCTTACTAGAAATAATTGCTACTATCATTATTACAGATTATTACTATTACTATAATCTTGCGTGAATACCAGGAGAGCAGCGTCGCGACTCCACCAACTCTACCGGTGGCTGACAAGGGGAAGACGCTCGTGGAGGACATCGCCCATCAAGTGAGCCAATACAGAATGCCAAGCAGTAAGCAAAGACTCAGACACTGTGCACTCCACAGCTGAAGGTACGCATATTGTTACTGGATGAGCGGTATCGTGCACACCTTCATGCTCCTGAGCAGCAGATGGTGCGGAAGCATTTGTGCAGCGCAATTGTTTGCTGACCTTTCTGCACCTTCCCACCCCTTGCAGATCACATCCTGCAAGGCATTCACCATGTTTCTTGCAATGCCGGCCTGTTCTTGACATCTCTGATGATCTCTTCGCAAATTCTGCAGCCAAGTAGGTCAGTGGAGTGTTAATCGTTCAGACTTGCCCTGGTCACAACTCTTCTGGCCCAAGTTAAGCTTGAGTCCGAGATTTCGTGCTTGAAAGCTCCGTAGCATGAGAGCATAGATTTGCCATTGACCCTCGATGGCGCAAAACCAGCAGCAGATGATGCCGGTGGCTTACTTCAGGTTTTCTGAGCGGGGTGGAGTAGTTCTGAGTTAGCTCAAAGGATATAATCCGTGAAAGCAGCCTGTTTAACAATGTTGCTCCGCACCCCTAAGGTACTACTACGTGGCGCCAGTCCAGGCTGGGCACGTGGCGCAAAACGATGGATCCAACATGATGGGAAATCAAGGGCAGATGCAAGGGCAGATGCAGGGGCAGATGCAGGGGCAGATGCAGGGGCAGATGCAGGGGCAGATGCAGGGACAAATGCAGGGATACGATCCCCAGATGCAAAACTTCAACATGGGCGGTGACCATGGCGGATATGCGTTCGTCATGAATCAAGATGCATCTCAAATGGGAGGTGTCAATGTCCAGCAGCAGATGGCCCAAATGCAGCCTGCCATGATGGCAACTGGCAATGGGTGCATGCAGCAAATGGTCCTAGTGCCAATCATGCCTGACCAGCAGCAAGCACCGCAACAGGGAATGCAAATGATGGATCCCAACAGTGGATGCCAAGGGTGTGGCCAAGCACAGGCTGCCTGGGGTCAGGCGAACGTGGGAGGATGCAACGGGTGCAATGCTTGCGGGCAAGGTGCTTGCGGGCACAGCGGGCACAGCGGGCACATGCAAGTGCAAGAAGCGCAGCAAGCGCAGCGAGGCCCCGGCACACAGCAAATGCCACAGCAAATGCCACAGCAGCAGCCGCAGCAGCCGCAGCAAAATCGGCATCACGAGGATCGGCAACGTGAAGCTCCAAACCAGGGCGGAGGACAGGCTTCCGACGGAGGCAACATGCAGGTGACCTCTGCGCAGCCAGCCTCAGGAGCTCCAGTCTCTTCCACACCAGCTGCAGCGCCAGCTGCAGGCAAGAAGAAGCTGCTCAATAAAAAAATCGACAAGCAGGCCGCCAGCACTCAAGCTAGCACAGCTGCAGGCCCAGCTGCAGGCCCAGCTGCAGGCCCAGCTGCAGGCACAACCGCCACCAACTCACAGGCTCCCAGTTCACCTCCAAAACCACAAGCCAAATCACCCGCGGACCCTCCCGCACAGGCTGGACCGCGCAGTGAATCGACTGGAGCAGGAACCAACGGGACGTCTGCTTCTGCCCCTGTGCAGAGATACCAGCCGACGCCCATGCCAGCAAAAGCCAGTCAAATTTCCGTTCACCAGTTTGCCTCCTCCATCAAGGCCCTGAACTTGGAACCCATGAGATCATCATTGAACACCACCAAGCGACAGCAGAACCATAGGGACGTTCCCTTCGACCCGGCGACTGTGAGGTTGCCTGAACAAGCTCCACAACAGCACCCAATCCAGTCAACGCAGGCTGTACAGCAAACAGCAGCGATAGCAGCACAGCCCACTCCTTCCCCGCAACCATCTCCTTCTCCGCCAGCACAGCAGCTTGCGCAGCCTCTCTTCAAGTCATTTCAATTGAAGGTCGGTGTTTAGGACGTCAAGACAAGCTCTCTGTGAGCCAAGGCAGCCCAAGGCCGCATCTGCTGGATCTCCGGCTCCTGCAAGGAAAGGGTTTAAGCTAGAGAACAAGAAGTTGCCAGCGCAGGGCTTAGTCTTTTCTCACAAACGAGGTGAGGCTCATTGCATTTCAACAGATTTCAAAGTATGCCAATCGCCTAGCCAGCTAAGGCAAAGGCAAAGGCAGCGGAGGAGGGTGAAACAAAAGAAGGCAAACAGTCCGAGACTCCAAAGGAGACGAGCCTCAAGTTGTTGTCTTAGCAGGCAAGTTGAGATGTCTGCTCACTGTTGTGCACGATCACCCTGCAGGAGCCCATAGCGGATGTTCCGCCTGTGATTGTCAAGGACCGACGTGCTATTGGCCGAGGTTCCGTGACTCTAAGGCAACCCATGCCAGGAGCCGGTTGTTATGCAAGCTGAAGCCATCACTATGGAGCCAGCGGGGGGCTCTCACGCTGCTGGCCTCAATTGCTGGGATGGCATAAATCTGCTACAATGCTATAACGGCCGAGTGAGTGAAGCAGGTCAACTTGACGCCAAAGAACAAAGTCTTCAGCTGCTTGATGGCAGGGCAGCCGGAGCTGGAAGCATGCAAACGAATGCAATTTGTGCCGAGGCCGTGAGCTCATGCTCAGAATTTGGCAGATGCACAAGGGGGAGCTGCACGGTGCCGTTGCAGAGCTGCCGCTTGACATCCGTAGCAGGTTTAGACGAGCTTTGAGATCATAGCGTTCAGCATAGATTAAGCGGTCGATCACATCCTGCTCAACTCAGATCAGTGAGCATCCGCCCTGGAGACAAGACACCTGCTATGGAAAGGCCCTTCTGGCATGCATGGCTTCGGTGGGGTCGCGATGCAAGTGACAGGAAGAAACCTCTCAAGCGGGAGGAGGCACCTGATCGAGCCAACGCAACGCGGCTACAGGATGCTACAGGCGTAGGTTGCGTTTTCTTCTCCTTGATTTGTGCTTTGGGGTTTCTGAGAGTTAGGGGCCCCTTTTCTGGGAGTTCTTCTAATAAGGATTATGGTAGACCAGGGGCCCTTATTTCAGTTTGCGTGCGCTCAGATCTTCGGGACCGACATGAAGAACAAGGGCTTCGCACTCAGCTGAATCTGAGCCAAGCCGAAGGTTGTCTGCCTTAAGTGTCTTACTGGTTCTGATGGGGAATGAGGGAATACAATCCCTACAAAAAGCCGATGTGACATATTCCCTTATTCCCTTCTAAGAACCGTAAGGTTTTGCTTGTTTTTTCTACTCTCAAGCTATTTCTTCTGGATGATGTTTTTTCGAGCCAGCCTAGTGTTTTGTGAGCCCGCAGCACTGGGCTTTCTGCCCCGTTGTTCGAAGGGAGAAATGTGCAGAAGAGGGTGGATGACCAGAAGTGCATCAAAACAAACATCTCAAACCCAACACGCTCAAAACAAGAGCCTTTTGCGGAATCAGCTTGACATCCTTGATTTACAAACTGTCTTTATGGTGGTTTCCATATGGGGGGACCCCAACATAACCCCCAAATGCTCCCCCTAATTTTCGGAAACCCCCATCTGGGAGGAACATGGCTGCATTGAAGCTGCGTGATCGCCGAGGCAAGAAGGAGATCCAAGTCCTGAAGCCTGGCGAGAATGCGTACAAAGTAAAGGACAAGGCCAGGACAGCAGCGGGGCAATGACTTAGGGTTTATAGTCCCCCTTAAGTAGATAGAATATGGCTTTGGGTATATTATCATAAGATCCACATCTACCTCATATTCTATCTACTTGAGGGGGACTACAGGGTTGTAGGGTTTAGGGCCACTTCTCCTAGCACTGTAGCTATTTTGCAGGCAAGCGACCGCATGGAGGAGATCGAACGACATGCTGAAAGCTCAGTTGCTACCTGTGCAAATGGTATTCAACAGTTGCAAATGGGTTACATTGGGTTATATTGCGGTTAAATAGGGATAATGGAAAAGAAAATGGAAGCTACTATTTAGGGTTTAGGGTTTAACGCCCATGCCCTAAACCCTAAAAACCCATACCTGCAACTGGTGGAAGGCTTGCATTGTTAGTCAGGCCCGCAGCCTGCTGAACAAGATCTGCCCGGATAATCTCGGTAAGATCGTGGACCAGCTTGCGAACATCAAGCTTCTGAACAAAGACGAGCTGACTCATGTCATTCAAATCATCTTCAAGAAGGCCCCTGCTTTGCGTGCGTGATAGGCAGACCAGATGCCAATGCCTGACTGCAGGCCCTGGCAGAGCCTCACTACTGCGGGCGTCTCAGGGTAGAATGTACGTGAATGTACGTGATGAGCCACTTGATGCAAGAAGCGCAGCACTGCTAAGGTGCTACCTATGCCGACATGGTTTACGCTTTGAAGGTGCCTGAGCTGGCAGACCTGCAGACCCATGGCGGCCCCCCATGCCTAATGAAAAAAATGACGACTGATGGCAGCATGTTGCTTTCACCGAACTTTGTTGCTTCGTTCCAAGGCAAGGTACCCCGAGTTTCCACCAGAAAGTGAAGGCGAGAAGCCTGCCACGTTCACACGGGCGGGAACCTTAGCCTTCTGCAAACAGGCAGCGCCTGCTGTAGAATGTTTTGGGCATGGGTTGAGAGCACCAGGTGCTTCTGAACAACTGTTCCACGGCTTGCATTATCAAACCTGTAGCGTTGCTTGTATTGATTGTTCGTTGGTCGTGAGGCCAGAACGAGTTTGAGAACATGCCGTCAACTTTCGAAGCAACGGATGAAGAGAGAGTCAAGTTTCCCAATCCAGAAGACCTGCAAGCAGAGCCACCTGGCCAAGATTCGTGAATGCAGGTGTGTGTGGACATGAACAGAAAACGAGGTATCCGCTTAGTGGCTTGTGTGCAGACATGCAGGAGTGCCTGGGTTTTCAAGGTTGAAGCGCAAGAAGGACATGATGCTGGCCAACATGCGCCTCGTCGGAAGGTAGACAGATTTGCGTTCCGTGCCTAGGTGTGACAGCCTCAGGACTTAGAATTAGAAGCGCATGTTGTGCATGCGCTCCACCAACTGCGGTTCTGAATTGCACTGAGCTTGCAAGGAAGTTCATCGGGCATCTTTTCTTGCGTCAACTCCTGGCTGTAAAGGCCCGGCCCGCCGTTGCAATTTGAATGCGCGTGCCCGAAAACAGAAAGTCGTGGAAAGCATGGATGCAAGGTCATCGGGCAAGTTGTGCATGACCTGATCGGGATCAAGGATGGCAACTCCTTGCCAGAAGAGCACATGATTGAGCGCCTGGGACAACTTGATAGAAATTAGGCCATGTCAAAAGTTGTTGGTGGAGACTTATCCCTGATGCCTTCAGGTGTGTATGCGAGCTGCTTGAGGCCGGGGGTCATTCATGGGTCATTCAGCTCATGGTGCTTGGGTCACGGTGAGGGTGGGGTGAAGGTACGGTTGCAGCTTCTCGTTGAGTGATGCTGCAAAACCTTCGGTGTACAGGGGGAGAATTTCTGCTCACAGTATGCGAGGCCATCGGGCACACCTTGGACGAGAACACCCACGGAGAAAACTTGATGAATTCCTTCCAGGCGCTACAGAGGGGCACATGCCCGAGAGAAATGTACTGCCGTCATGCAAGACCGGAAAAACATGAAACAGCCGGCTCTGTTAGTCCTTGAATCATGCAGGCGCGCCTCAGGGACTTGTCCAAGCATCTCTCCAGTGACGGCAAGCAGGCAGACGGAAGTCTGTGGCTCGCATTGGACTTCTCAAGCGCTGATTACTTGAGAGGTGTTCTCAAAGCGCATCCGCTTTGCAATTGCCGACCTGCTGGACTTGAGGAAGAACAAGTGGCAAAAGATACTTGTCTATCCTGCTGCATTGAGCATCAGATTATCTGGATCCCGTTCCCGTCATGCCCACGCCAGATCCCCTGCAATCAGGAAAGTGTTCAAGGAGCAAGCCATGAAGATCAATGAGGTCAAGGAAGCTGCCAAGGATGCAACCAGACAAGGTTATCGACCCAATAATATAGGGCCTGAATAATTACCAATATTATGGTTCCATACTCCTTGTATAAGTATAGTATAATATTGTAGCTCACATGACAAGGCCCCTGTAGAAGGTTTTGCAAGCCAGCTCGTCTGAGGAGTTGCTGCTTCAGGGGTAAACTAGCAAACTGATTCTAATTGCCTTTCGCTTGTGTTGGGAGGCTCCGGTTCTGGGAATTTGCAGCCTTTCTTGCGCGTATTTGTTCGGGCCGGAATGCAGCAAACTTTTGTTGGTGAGTGAGAATAGTATCAGAGAATCCCACCATATCTCTTGGCCAAGGCAGCCATGAGACACCACAATCTTGATAATTTCGAGGAGCATTGCTACGCAAAATGCTCATCTCTGGGCCTTGTGCTATGGTGCTCACATGCACGCAAAGGATCCTGACACAGCCTGGCACCTTCTTGGGGGGGTTGTTAAACACACAGCCTCCCACACAGCTGAGGCAAAAGCTCAGGGAGGCAAGCCAGGTCCAGAGTCAGGCTTCTCGACCCACATTGCCGGACAGAAGCCCTCATATATCGATGCCGCTTGGCCTGGGCTTGGGCTCGCAGTGCTTGGAACATGAAGTGAACAAATATAGGGGTAATGGAAAAGAAAATGGAAACTACTATATAGAATATTGGGGTTATATAGGGGGGCAATGGAAAAGAAAAAGGAAACTACATCCAACCGTTGAACTCACTCGCCTAGGCCAAGCAGCGGAAGACAATGACTGCGGATAGCTCCAAGCCAGCCTTCGACCAGTGCCTTGGCATGCTTACCATGCGCAATTGGTGTAAGCTCGCGGCAGCTTGCAGTGCTGTGCCAAGGCCATATGCGACTCAGCTGACTGTTTTCCAACGCGCCTCACCGCTTGCAACACATTTGCTCATCGAATGAGTTCTGAGACCTCAGGTTAAGAGACTCTGCCAGTACTTCTGTGAAGACAAGAACGGCGAGTCCTTGCAAAGTGATTGGAAGAAAGCGCAGCCAACAGCCAATGACTGGGTTTCCAAAACCTTGACAGCATGAGAGCGGAGCACTAGCCAAGTCGAGCCACTGATGCTGCGGCAATCCTGGCAGGAGACAAAGCAGGGATTAGAATGGCTCCTCCACTTCGGCTTTGAGAGCGAAACTTGTTTGCATGCGGCTATGCAGGCACTGTGAAAGCTACCGCGATGATGCTCGTGCAAATGGGTGAAAGCCCATGGTGAGCGTTAGGGCCTTGATGCGCCTAGGTGAACCGCGAAGATAAGTCTGACGCAATTTCGCAGATGTTCGTCGAGCTTGTTCAGAGACGGCTGGTGCAGTGGGATGTCCTGAAGGTGCAGCATAGCTTTGTAGTAATGGAGGGCCATGGCTGGCTGCGTCCAGGAAGTGCTGCAAGTCGCCTTCGGTGGACTGGAGGACAGGAAGATTGACGAACCGTGCTCCCATATGGTTGTGCAAGGCTAGCGAGTGTACTTGGCGCTGTAAGTCTTACAGTAAGTTAATCACGTCATCAAGCACCCTAGCTGCAACCATGTGGCCACCAAGCATCGAGATTCACTCACCACCTCACTGGACGGAAGCCATGCTCCAGACAGAAAACAAAAGGTGCATGGGGCCGATGCAGCCACAAAAGGAAAGCATGGAGTCGATGAAAGTCTGAAAGAGTGAAGGTATGCGAAGTGTCGTGTGTTCACGGAAGGAGTGTCTTCAAAGAGGGCTTGCCGCTTGCATTTGCTTGGACAGTCTGAGCCAGGTACTGTGACATCTTCAGCCAGTGCCTGTTGGCAAGGCTGTTGGGCATGGAGAATTTCAACCCCTCAGTGCTGAAAGCGCTGCTACCTGAGTTGCCGCAAAGTCGCGGTACAAGTCAAAAGCAGCACCATTAGTAATAGTTATTCTTACTTTTGAGCCATGAGCCATGTGTTGCTGGAAAGCTTTCCATGACTGAGGCTGCAGCCTTTGGTTCCATCCTCGCATTCTAAAGATGGCATGGATGAGAACCTGTGCTGGGACCAGTTGTTTTTCAGCTGCAGCATAGACTGGGCTGCTGTTGAGGAACTTAAATTAAGTTACCATGATTGGTATATATAGTAAGTGGAATGGTCTACCCAATATAGTAACTTAAATTGAATTCCTTCACAGCAACCCGGTAGATAGTTTGGCCGGATGCCAGATGGTCTTTTTGAGCGCAAGAAACTGCCAATCTAAGAACTGGCTGCCTGCAGAAGCTCAAGAAACGAGGCCAAGCATCGTGGCTTCTCAGCTTTCCAAACATCTTCCCCACTATATATCCCGTTATACTATAGTTGTCTCCATTTTCTTTTCCATTACCCCTATGTAATTCTATATTTTATCCCTAAACCCTAATCCCCAAACCCTAAACCCTATATAACCCCAATATAGAAAGGACCGTAAAGCCTATATTACCCCAATATTAAGACGGAGGCATGGTTTGCATCGACAGGCGGGGATACGCGCCGAGCTCTCAACATCCAGGAGTTTGTGGCGCTTGCTGGCAACGCTATTGGCTGCCAGAAACTGAGGGGTTTTGGGTTTAGGGTTTACTATCAGTACTTTTACAATTAGTACTATTACCAGTATGATCATTATTGATATTATTGTTATTGTTCTTATGATTACTATTTGTGCGATGATTACTATTACTACTACTACTACTACGACTACTACTACTACTACTACTACTATTACTACTACTACTACTGCTACTACTACTACTATTCCTCTTACTACTATTATTATTATTGTAATTATACCGACCCAGCTCTGCCTGTTGAGACGATTCCATGCGGTGCCAAGGCAGCTCAAGTGAAGCCCGGCGCCAGCTGGAAGCATGTCTGTGAAGGTTTCGATAGTCAGCCTTATTACTATTATTGTTGTTATTAGCATTAATATGATTACTATTATTGCTATTATTGCTATTACTACTACTAGTAGTCAGCTGGCTAGTGAAGGATTTGGTTGCTTCTTCCTGCAAGATGGTGAAGTCTGGCACGAACGGAAGCATGCGTTAATGCTGCGTGATGTCTGCAGAAGCACACCAGTCAGGCACTCGACCATAGCACCCTTAAAGCCATGTAGGGATGCTGCTGACAAGGGTGCTGTGTGGAGGGAGGTTGCCAGCAGCACAGCCGCTGCAGATCTGTATCTTTTTTCTATACTGATTCCGCACTTGCAGATGGCTCACAATATTCTGGCTCCTCTCAATTCAGATTGGAAGATTGACTCTTTGCAGCCTGCTAACCGAGTGGGCTTGTTTCGCCACGTTGCCTGCTCTGCAGCTAGATGACGTTTAGCCAAGGGGTTTCACAGCTCGCTTTGATTGATTGAAAGGTAGCCCAAACTCAGCAGGCCGAAGGCACTGTGAGCGCAAACCGGCTGTTTGCTGATTGCCCATGAACATGGACATCTCGGACCTTTTGGCTGCCAAGAAGAGCTGCAGAATTTGTTTATGCAGCTGATTAACATCTCGAACGATGTCTTTTTGCAAAGCAATTGAGCCAAGGGTCCGGAATGCAGCAATGCACGACTAGCTCTCCGGCAGTGCGCTCAGTGCATGCCATGTAGATACTCACACATCAATGGCTTACGGCCGCTCTCCAGTCACACTCTCCGCATTGCTAGGGATGAGCGTAAGATCGCAGCCGACACTGCCCTTGACTACTCCTTGCATTTTCTTACTTCAGGGACTGTGCTGGCATTGGGCTGGAGTTGCAGAGAGGTGCGGAGAGCTGTTTGAGAGCATCAAGAAGCTTTCATTTCAGGCTGTGCTTCTGGTTGCGGGAAGGTGGCGTACAGCACCTACCGCACACCTGTACAGGCCGGAGAACAGCCAAGTAAGCAAGGCAGTCCGAGTTAGTCGCGACTGCCTGCATTGATTCACAAACTTTTGCGCGACTGAAATGGCAGGGATGGTTCACCAGATTACCATCCTCTACCTTGTGCATGGCAGGGCAAGGTTTCAAGACAGAGCCGCGCTTTCAATGGGAGCTGCGGCAAGCAAACCCCGCTCAGCCTCCAAAATCCAAACCAGGCGGAGGCAGAGAAGAAGCATGGGCAGTATCATGAAGACATCTACGTGTACTTGACAGCACAGGGCTGGTGAACCATGGGTACATCAACTCTGGAAAACTCAAAGCCCACAGCTTCGTCCTGTAAATGCAGTCTGCAGGTCTTCACCAGAAAGCCTACAAGCCGCTTTGTCAAGTCTGTGTATCATTGCGTTGTTGCTAGTCCTAATCATACAGGTTAGCAGGAGAGAGCAACACAGGGATGAGACGACCGAGCTGCTTGCGCAGAACTCGCCAGGAAAGTCTGCGATGTGTGCAAAGTGCAGACACAACAGACTGTTCTGCAGCCAGTTATGAGAAGCCAGCTATGCTCACATCCTACGTAGAATCCTGAGTTCGTTTAAGAGTTTAAGACATGTGCTGCGAAATGCCTGGTGCATCCTGGCGCCATTGGTATGCCTGTGAGAAGCAGGCAGCCAAGAATTCGATTGCGCCCCGACTGTTCTAGCTGTTCAATGGGAACACGCGTCAAGACAACAAACGATGCTGGCACATATCCGCTAGACATGTCAGTCTGTTTCGACAGTGCTGCTGATGTCCTCATGCTTAGACGGGAAAGGGGCCAGGCATCTGCAAAAATCCCCATGCCATTTCCCCACACAGCCTTTATCATCCCCTGAGTTGTAGGATTCCAAGCCCTGGCAAAAGCGTTTCTGCAGCTCAGAGCCCTCCGCAGCGTGTAGACGCAGCTGAAGTCCATCGTCCACCGGCATCTGTCCCCGATGTTGCTGCTAACTGTTCTTGGATTCTACATGTCCATGCTGAAGTACACCGCTGCTGCCCAGCCGCTTGCACGTCACGCGCTGCCTGTGTCTCAGTGGCGTAAAAACTCCAGAAACTATTTGCAGGCTGGCGACGCTGCTCCATTTGCAAACGCTGGACAATCCGGAGATGCTGATAAACTTCTTTGCGAAGTAGGTTCCGTCATCAGTGCGGGCATCTTGGCTGAAATTCCTAAAAACGTCTTTCATGATTTCATGACATTTCATGCTGATTTCTATTCTTTCCTATGCCAGGCTTGCCAGGCCGCTTGCCTCGAAAAGAGCTGTTTGAAGCCCATGCGGTAATGGAAGTGGTGAATCGCCATTTCCCAACAGAGTCTCGCATTTTCGAACCATGCGCTGGCTGTGGACTTCTGGCAATCTTCCTTGTTCTCTCAAATCGGGGTCGTCGAGTTCGCTGCTCAGACAAGAAGCAGCCCAGACTGGCACGTGAGCTTCATGAGTGCGTAGCACACAAATGGCCGTTTCTGCGCCAGCAGATCCAGTGGGAAGAGGCCGATGTTCGCAAAACTACGGTGACGGTCGCCCGTGACGAACTTCTAGTGTCATGTCATGCCTGCAGCTTTTTATCAGACGAGATGATCCTTTCTGCGAAGCGAAGTCGCTTGGCCCTTGTTACTGGCATGTGGGGCCCCTTCGCATGCTTTGGTGGCTGCAGCTGCAGCTGAGGTTTCCGGCCGCTGGTATTAGTGCCTTGCTGTTACGAGACACAGCCTGTGCTCACAGAGCGGTCTTGGTTGCCGAATTGGAGCTTCAGAAGGTGGCCCTGGCTGGAGGAAGGTGCTGTGAACCGCCGGGGCCGGACTGCCATTGATGAAGTTCGCATCCAGACCTTGAAGAATGCTGGCTACGATGTTGCCCGGGAGGAAATTGACCGCCAGATCTCTGAAATGAATCGTGTCATTGTGGCGCAGCCGCTTCAGCAACAGGTGTGATCAGTCCGCACCAGAGCGCTATGCCGAAACATGAAGGTAGTGGCCAGCTTAAAGCTTGTCACTCTGCAAGTGGAGCTTCCTGAGCAACATGACGCGCAGTTTCCTGGTGGACTGCCTCGAACACCTGCTTCGATCTGGTGTCTGTTCTTCCGACTACGAGATGAATGATCCTTCCCGGGGGCCCTTCGCGTCGTCTGCAAAAGCCTGCGAGTGATTTTAGACATGTTCTGACAGTATGGGCTTCAATGACCAAGACGACTAGTCGAAGGAATGCAAATGCTACTGCTAGAACATGGAGCCATTTGGCGCCCTTAATTCCTACACGCACCTAAACTCATTTCTAGTGTAGAAAGGACTTGTCTTCGCAAAGTTGGCTTGGAAGTGGCTGACCCCAAAACACGTCCTCGTAGCTCACCAGAAAGCAGTTGGGGAATTTGGGGTTCGGGGGTATCAATGCCGATCCCATCAATGCAGGGCCAAGTCTCGCACAGCTTCATGATTGGAATGATTTCTGAAAATGTTTCTGTTTAGCCTGCAAAAAATACCAGGATCCTCTTTGTAACTTGTAACCCCTATACAGGCCCTCCCCCCCTTCCCATGCGTGGTGTGGTGTCGGTGTGGTGTGGCGTGGCGTGGCGTGGTGTGGTGGAGCTTGGGTCTTTGAGATAACAAGCTATGAGGACCGATGATGCGAAAAATAAAGAAAGACTTATGCCAGGAATTCATCCAACGGGAATTATCGAGATTGCACGGGGAATTCTTAGACTTTAGGGAATTATGTACAGAGATTATATAGTGTTGGAGTGGGGTGGCGTAGTGAGTGATATGGAGCTGTTGTAGGAGCGACAGAGAACCAACTCCCACGCGCACCCACCCCCGCTACGGCTGGGGCTGCGGGGAAATGCTATGGGGAGGGGTTGCTCACAGCGATGTTCCTGGGACCCCGTTGTCGGAATACCCTTATGCCAGATCGGCGCGCTGACGCCGCAGCTACTTTTGCCTGGCTGCACATCAAGGCCTTTCATCCAGCCATCAGTTGATGGTATCAGATGCCTTCGTGCAGGCCCTGGTGCCGCATTCTTCTGATATTCTTTTTGACAACAGCTTTGATGATGGTAGACTCGGCCTTGGCTCGGCTGACTGAGAGGAGCCAGGGCCCCAGGGCCGAGCATTCTGAGGCCGGGCTCCTGCTTTTGGCTGAAATCCTTCAGTCACAGAAGGTCTGGGCCTGAAAACAAGCTTGCGCATTCTTTGGCATTCAAGCTGAGCAATTCCAAGAAAGCAGGAAAAGCAAGGCCAGCCGGAGGAGTTGCAGGAACCAAGTGGTGCGTAGCGGCCTTACAGCCTTGCTGAAAGACAGGTTTGAGGTTGCAACCCTGTGCACCCAGGAGTCTTTGTGAAGACCCAGCTTGGATAAACGCATTGCTAGACAAGGCGGCCAGTAATGTAGACCCCTTATTAATAACCCCCCTCCCCTTCATACGGATTATAGGAAGGAGCCTTATATGTTAAGACCCTAAAAAAAGGAGGGGGTTTATTAATCATGGATCTACAGTAACTTCAGCCGGCGGAGCACTACAGGCACGCAGAGGCACACAGTGCCTTGAATGGCTTTGAGGCGGTGGCGCTGGCAGATGCTGTAGAGGGTCCGCCCGGCTGCTCAGACCATTCTTCAAGGGCATGATGGAGTGGTTGATCAGACAACGTTCGAGGTGGAATGACGAGGGCCAGGAACAGACAACCAGCATCTCGAGCAAGGATACCCCAATGGCCACATGTTTGGGTTTTCAGGTCTCTGCCAATGCATTGATTTTGCCATGGATTGCGAGGCCTGCTTCCACACTTGCAGGCGATCTTGTGATATTGATGCTCGTGCTCCCTTCTCAATTTTTCTTGAACATAGTTCGCGTGCTTTTTGAGCCCTCCTGCTCAGCGCAATGCACTCAAGCCTGGTTTTGTTCCAGCTCGATTTGACAGCTAGGGCACACGTCGCATAAGTGGACGGACATGTGTGATTTTGTCCCGTGTCCGAGCATGTACTTCTGCTGATAGATCATTGCCATGGCGTCCGCCGCTGTTCCTGCCGAGGCGCCTGTGCATGTGTACTGAATCCTGAAAGCTTATGCTGCTTAGTGGTCAAGGCTAGTGCCAGCTGTAGTTGAGCTCTTTCGAGTTGCTGAGCCATGTGGGACAGGATTGCCTTCCACGCCGTTTTGGTTTTATGCGCAAGGGCGCCCACACCTTTTTCAGCATGCCGACAGTATCGGCTTTGTTTTTTCTGTTGCAAGCAAGGTCCGCAGCATGGCTAAAGGGTTTTTGGCTGGCACCCTTTGCAGAAAATCAGCTACTGTAGAGCTTCTTCGGCTGTCTGGCCAAGAGAGAAGATCATGTCATGTTGTCAAATCACAGCCTTGCCTGAGAAGTCTCTTCCCGGAGTTGCGTGGTCATTCTGTAAATATTAATAATATTATTAATATTTCTAATATTAATATTAATAATATTAATATGAATACTATTAATATGAATACTATTAATATTAATACTATTTATATGAAAAATATTAATTTGAATAATATTAATATGGAAACATATTAATTTGAATAATATTAATATGAAAAATATACATATTAATACTATTAATGTTTTTGTGGCTCGGATACCGCTTCCGAGCCATGCCCGCCGCTCAAGCACATCTCTGCCGTGGCAGATTCGGAAAGTTTCAGAGACTGGACTTTTGATGTTATGACCCTAATATAACCCTAATATACTATAGTAGTTTCCATTTTCTTTTCCATTATCCCAATATAACCCCAATATCACCCTAATATAATCCCTGTGTCCGGCATGGAATTAAAGATGCTGTGGCAGATTCAGAAACAATCAGAGACTTGACTTTTCATGTGTCTGGCACGGAAAGCTTCTTGAGTTCATGCTCGGCGCATTCGCTTTTCATTTCGTGTGCAAAGCCAGCGGTTTTCGCCAGCAGCAGGGGAGGTTGACATCGGCTGAAAAGAAAGGAACATCTCATGAATCGCACCAGCCCAGAACTCCGACCCCCTGTTGATTTTGGGTAGAACCTGATTGAATGCCACTCCTTGAGACTGAGACGCCCCAAATTCGAGTTTTCGAGTGAGCATGTCAGGGGTCTAGTGCCAAACGCAAAGTCTCCGGCCCGAAGCGCCCAGGGTGCACTGGAAGTCACTGTAGCAGTTTGAGACAGTCGTACCTTTTAGATCGTGTCGTTCCATCCGTCTGCTACGTAGCTCGTGCCACGATTGACGGGCTTCTTTGCAGGCACACCGGGGCGACATGCCTCGCTTTGTCTCCCTTGAGGCACCCTGACTTGAGTGGGCAAGTAGACTGCAGTGCGCTGGTCGGATTCTCGGGCTATTTGGATTGCCTTGCATGAAAAGGTCTACACCTCCGACCCATGCACTGAGGCGCCAGAAAGGGCTTTACAAAGGGCGCGCAGTAAGGAAAGAGAGCGAGGAGAGTCCTCATCAATGGCAGGCTGCCCTTGATTGTCTCGAAGGTCAGCGCAGGCCATGGGTTGGACGGCTGCGCCAACAACTTACTGGGGTCAGTAGGGAATAGGGAACAATTGAATATATTCTATGGGGATTATATTCCCTGAATCCCTACTTACCAGCAGTAAGACAAGTCACCGGCCCCCTCTTCAGGGAGGGCTGCGGCCCAGAGCTGTGCGATATCACTGCCAGCGTGGCTTTGCGCATACCGTGCGCAGCATACCTCGAGAAGGCCTAGGGTTGGCAGGGCCAGAATTGCAGCTTGTGAGGTACATTGCCGCGGCTCTAGCTGATGAGTATCGGCCTCTGAAGCCATTGCAACAAGCTACTGCGAAGGAGAGAACTTGTCAACTTGTCCATCTCCATTTCTAGGTGGAGGCTCGCTAAGTCCGATGGCGAGAGCGGGGACATTCCCAAAGTGCAGGCCGGTGGCAGGTTGGTCTATTGGCACCCTGTGAAATCCGAAGTATGCTGAGTTTAGCTAGTTTCTGAAATTTGGATAAGGTTTTGCTGGCAAAAAAGACTAGGACCAGGACTGAAGCCTGCCTTGCCTGATCAGGAATCTTTGGGCTCAAGTCCAGCATCGTGGGGGTTTTGGGGGGTCTTGCCTTCTTGTAGCCATGGGTAGCCCTGCGGCGTGAGATGGTGCTCTCAGAGTAAGGAGTGGGTAGCGGCTGGTGGCGGTGCATTGCGGCATGTGCCGAGGTGGTGTACAGACCCATTGCAGCGGCTACAGCGAATCGTCCAGCAGCATTCAGCCGGCCAGTTATTGGGAAGGCTTGGGTTTCTTTGTACCTCAAGTCTCGTCTGTGCGGCAACAGTCCTTTGTGTTCTGGCCAGGTCCTACAGCGCCCAGCCTACAGGCTTCCAAGAACCGCTGCTCAAGCCCCAGCTCCAGCTCCAGCAGAGAGCAGCCCACCTCTTGCAGAAGAGGTTCAAGATGAGGCCTGGTAAACACTCCAAGCAGGCCATGAACTTGAAAAGCAGATGGCAGGTAGAGGACGAAACGTTTGCCCAGCTGGATGACGCAGCAGCTTTGCAGCATACTCTTAGACAATCATTTCAGAGCATGCATCTCTGATTGAGAGATGAGGTGCCGCTGTTCTTTCATGCTTTCATGCTTCACTACTACGTCACTGCTGTTTGATTGTGTGAGATCGCGGTAGCCTGCTGATGATGTGGACCCCCTGTGATTTACAAGTTTCACAAGGTCTCATGGGCCCTTGCACGCGCTCAGGATACCGGCATTGATGAGCCACTGCCGCAGGTTGAAAATGGTCTTGTAGCCAACTGCAGGGTAAGGATTGCCGGTTGCATCAGGACGACGAGGAGGTCTTGGAGGAGGAAGTCTTGGATCTCGAGGAGCCTGTGCCGGAGAACGACGAGGTCCCTGAAGTCGAGGTGGAGGCTGAAGCGCTGCCTGCGCGTGAGGATGATCTGGACGTGGAGGAGGGGGCGCAAACAGTTTGAACAGGTTGTTCAATTGTTCGCTTCTTTTGCGTCACCAGTGCGGCAGAGCATTTGGCTCAGGATGTGGCAGAAGACATGCGCGAGGCAGTGCAAGGCAGTATACAGCTCCGACGTATGTCACCTGATGGGGATGAAGCATTTGTTGGCGAAGTAGACCGTGTTCGCTCATTGTGGGTGGTGTTGCCGTCTGTCAGTTCTGTTTCTAGGCAATAGTGAGATTTCCATAGCGGCTGCTGCTGCTGCTGCTGCTGCTGCTTCGCCGAGGCGCATGCGTTGTTACATTCAGTGTTACATTATAAGTATTCTCCAGCCTGCAAAGGCCACAGACCATCAGCTCTGTTGATTCCTCTGATGCTTCTCTGGCTCCTGCGGCCGATGCTGTTGATTTTGTTTTCTTTGTTTTCATGGTAGCTGTCTTTCTTTTTGCATTTTTTGTCATGGCTGCTGCTTCGCTTTCTGGCGCCTGCACCGTCTTTTTGCCGTGTCTTCTTTGTGTGTGCTTTTTTGTTCTGTTTGCTTGTTTTGTTTGATTTGTTTGTTCTGTTTTGTCTTGTTTGGTTTGGTTTGTTTGTTCGAGTTGTTGTTTCTGAGCGTTTGGTTGATTCATTTTGCATGTTCTATCATTGTTTCGTTCTGTCTTCTTTGTGTGGTTGTGCGTGTGTTGCGCAACCTTACCAAAAGTATGAGTATGTTCACGCAGTCATGTCGCACGCGGTACAAGCCCGGATGATGACTGCTGCCAACGCAGTTTCTCGTCTCGGCGCATGTCGGGCTTGATCATCTGACGTACTAGCCTGGGTTCTTGGGGAACAACATTTTACATTTCTATGGGTGGTGCTTGCAGCAATCATGCAGTGTCATGTTCTCAGTTCACATACGCAGCTGGGGCGTAGATTTCCAGCTTTACTCGTACTTTCAGTTCCGAAAAAGGTGCTTAATTTTAATTCAACTGCAATCAGCCCATTTCGCAGACCAGGACCCACACACTCACAGCGATGGCTTCTGTTGCATAGCGCTAGACAAGACGAGGACAGCAAGTCTGGAGAGGCCGTCATGGCAGCAGCGAGGCATGCAGATAGGTTTTCTGGCGCCCCGGTGTCTGAGTTTTTCTGATGAAAACGTTGGTGGTCGTTGCTGACGGTGCACAGCTGGTGGCACCACAAGCCGTCTAGGTGGTGCCCATGCGTGTGGCCGCGGAACGCCAACCCAAAACTGTGTTTGCCGCGTGCGTTGCTGGCCTTTTGGCATGCGGCAGCAGCGATAACTCTTGGCGACGGCTTGGGCCCTCAAACGACCATGACACGACGACAACGTTCTGGTTGCTTCTTGGCAAAAAAACACTCACTTGGTGCTGTGTACTTGGCGCGTGGTGCTCAGCGGGTGGTATCATGGGGACACCTGGTTGCACAACCAGTTGTGCGTAAACCGGAAACCCCAAATGGTTCTCTTTCCCCAATGAGCTGCGCGGGGGCTGGCAGCCTGTCGGGCACACCCTTGACCTCACTAGGGGTCCCCATGACAGACCTCGGCCACAACAGTCTCCACTCCCAGAGGCTCTTAAAGTTGCCCCTTTGGGGAGTCAGGTTCTTTTTGTTAATTGCGGTTAATTGATCGGTACGATCCTATGCTAGATGCTATATATATATCTCTCTCATCCTGCTACGGTGATGGTAAGCTTATTCATGCCAAGCAGTCGGTTCAAGCCTGGTCGCTACCAGCCGCAACTTGACTTGGATTCGGTATCGCGCCGGGGAAAGCGCACAGCCACATTAAAGCAGAGATTTTTGCAATTCAAATTGTTGGTTAGCAGGTCCTGCCGCTACCACCATAATTGCTTCACTATTTTTACCGTGCTAAGGGAGGAACGAATCGCTTCCTGCTGTACGATACAACCCCTTCTTTGTGTTTTTGGTTTGCCTGCTTGCTTGTTTACTTGTGCGTGTGCGTCGGTGGATCTGCTAGGTTACGTTTTGTTCTGCGCTTGCTGGATTTGGTTGTTTCCTGGCTGCTTTTCAGGGTTCGCTACCTAAGCTGTTATCACTGCTGTTGCTGTTGTTTTGTTAATTTGTTGTGCGTCGTTGTTGGTTTGGCTGGTCGGTTGATTGTGAGTGCGGCGTTGGCCTTGGTAGTTGTGTTGTTATGGTCGTAGTTGTTGGTTCTCGCTTTTCTTTCCTTGCAGCAGTCGTAAGAGTGGATTTTGAGGCTCTCTGGCAGCGAAGGAGACGAGCCTGCTGCAAAGATGCTTGGTCGGCATGAAGCCACGGATCAAGAAGATACATGGTAGTTTTCCAGAATAGGGGAACCCCAATATTGCCCACATGATTTTGCAGTTTCTTCAGGGAATCTGCCCTCCGAAGCGTTCAGGAAGCGCAAGACTGACGTGGCACCGGATTTAGATCCAGAGAAGCTGGGGCCTTGGCCAAGCACATGTCCACAATTCCAAGCTGTTGCTTTTTCTTCAGAGACTGCGTCGCTAAGTTTGCCGTCGTAGCTCACCCACTACCTTCCAAGAGCGCAAGCCAAGCAACAACAGAGGCTGCAGAACTTGCATCATAGAGCAAACTTGCTTCCTTTGGGTGAACGGTGAAGAGCCGAGGGTCACAGATGGGGGCCAAGCTTTCAAGTCAGAATTGCTAAAAGCACAAGCACATGTCATCGATGCGACACCCTGCTAAAAGCTGTGCGCTGTTGGGTGTTGCTTTGCGCTCGTATCCTCCGCAGAAAAGGTTGCCTTTTGTTATGTTTCTTTTCCATGCGGAAATGTCCTTAACGATTGCCCTGAACCCTCTAGTAGTATCTATTGCAGTCTCCATTTTCTTTTCCATTTGATTCTCCAATATGAGGTAATCCTGATGCTTGTGTATCAGCCCAGGGCAAAGCTTCTGGCTCGATGGGGGTTGTCGGCTGAGCGAGCGGTGCGGTACGTGATGCAGGCCACCTCCAAGTGGTTTAGGGCTTAGGAATGCTTAGGATTTAGAGTTTCTAAGTGGTGTAAAGTGGCCGGTAATAGGGCAGTTTCTGTTGGCAAGGTGTGTGCAGTAGTTTCATTGCATGTTTTGACACTTGACTTTCTGGTCTGCCGGTTGTCCGGCTCAAGCGATGGGGTTGTGGAACCACCCAACCCCTCAGCTATCTCCAGCTGCACCGCCTCCAACTTCTACCGACGCCGCTTTGCGGGCCTTCTTGGAAGTCATCATGTTGCTTCTCTTCTGCATCATTATTTCCCATCAGTTCACACGTGCAGCATAACTTTAGTTGAAGCTGCTTCTCCTTTGTCATTCTTATTGCATGCCTCCTTGTGCGCTGAGGGCCACACTTATCGCCACCTGCCTCATGCAGGCGATCCATGCCGGAGCCGCGTGGGCTCCAGATTCTTTTGAGGACGGCAGACCAGGGTCCCTTGTAGAGTCTAGATCCATTCTGTTCAGCTGCTTTAGTTGCATTGCTCCAGGCTAAGCCTACGGCAGCATGCTCCCTTTTCTCCTCTGCATTTCTTATCTGACCTCTTTGCTTGCTCAGACAACAGCTCCTTTTGGTTGCAGGTGCTGCAAGTTTGTCTGTTTGCTTAGGATTTCTTGTGGCCATGTTGCCAGCATGAAAGGTCAGGCCAACAGGATCAAGGGCCAATAGCCTTGGCACTCACAGCTCAGGATAACCACTGCGCCTTGCGCAAGTACCCTAGGAAGTAGCCAGAGGCATTGGTTGCTTGACGCTCAGGAGATGTTACCCGTTTCGGGGGCCGCTCCGGTCGAAGAGCAGCTGTTGCAAGCAACGCTGCGCAGCGTAGCCAGGACGGCTACATGTTTGGAGGGTGTTGAACGGATCTTGGAGTCCTGACCCCGAAGGATCCTGGCATTTGCGATGATGGGTACAGCAGCAGCTGTACTTGAGTCTCTACTGAGAAGCAAAGACCGGTCGAGCAAGAAGCTGAGCATTTTGCTCCGCTTCGGGCTGTAGACGGCTTCCATGGATTTCTGAATAGGATGAAGATGGCCCTCAAATGATCTGCAATGCAGATGGTCAGAAAGCAGAGAGAGTCTTCGACTTGAAGCTTCTGGCCTGGATCACCAAAAAGTTGAAGGGCAGCCAAAGACATAGACAAACGTTCAGAAGCTATCCATCTGCAGATTGAGGGGCGCCTTGCACCGATCCTGCAGGCGGCAGCAATTGAGGAAGTTCGCAAGGTGATGCAAACCGGTTGGAGGCAAATTTCTTTGCGCAGAGTAGGAGAACATCCTGGCAGTCTTGGTTGAGGCCTGTTGCCTGGGCGCCTCGAGCTGATGGAACTCATAAGACGGCTGCGGAGCAACTCAATGAGAGATCCAGCTGCAATGGATGCGCCGGATACGCGCAATGTCCCAGCAAGCAGGTCATTATCACAACATTTTGGATGTCTAGAGTAGTTGTTCTGAGGACAATCTTGAAGTTCCGAGAGGACTTGTATGGGCCTGCTCGCGGAAATCAAGTGGACGTGGTCTGAATCTTAAAGACAAGTGAGACCAGTAATGTGGGACAAGTGTTTTATCACTTGCAAGTGTTACAAACGCCTGTTTTTGGGGTGCCTTTCAGTGCAACCCAGCTACGCTAGGTTTTGGTGCTAAGGTCACGGCCTTTGCTCGGAGGTGGGAACTCCCGGCTGCGGACATTGCGGCCTTGCGGAAGCTCTCGCATAAGGCGTATCAGAGCTACCTGTGTCGTCCTCACACTACTTACTCTGTGACTGAATCGCGCAACAACTGGCTTCAATGCGCAAACCTCGAACGCGTTGCACGAATTCCGCCAAAGCCGCTGAAGCAGCAAAACCTGCTGAACGCCCCCCAGCACATGTGGTTCGGAGAATGTTCCTGCCCAAGCCATAGTAAGTCTGTGCATTTTTTGACCAGAGCATCCAATATCCGCCCTTGAGAGCATACCGTTGAAGGAGCTTTCATGCCCGAACCAGAACAGCGCCCATCTCCGAGCGCATCCATCCCCCAAAGCGTCCATGCCCAAACCGCAGCGCCGCCTATCCCCAACTGCATCACAATAACCTTCATCCAAGATTGTGCGCGGCTTTCAGAGCATTCACGCCCAAACGAGAACAATGCCCGTCCCCCCGTGCATGCGTTTCCCAGCATTCGCTCCCAAACCAAAACGTCCATCTCCAAGCGCATCAATTCCGCAGAGTCAAACGACAATGACGTCTGTCCGCGGGCACATGCTACGAGGCATTCATGCCCAAACTAAATTTTAGCGCCTTGCACACAGTTCACGGCCGGAATTTCGGTGCATTCAAGCGCGTGGTTGGAACTTTAGCGCATTCCAGCAAATAACCAGGGTTTCGCTGCACATGGCCGGAATTTCTGCCCAATCCATGCTGGAAGTCAGGCGCATGTTATGTCTTTTTGAGTCCAAGCTCTGCATTTCCAGAACGGCAAAGGCAGATTGGCCAAGCGCACAGCATTATGACGCATTTTACTGGCCCCCCTTCAGCAGGACTTACGGCACGTCATGAAGGACCGCTGAGATTCCATCTTGTGGAAGGTAAGCTTTTTGTGAAGCTTGACATTGGATCTCAGAGCAATCTCAGACAGAATTCTTTGGTCCGGAAAAGGCTTGTGGTGAGGACGGGGTGCAGTTTGTGCAGCCTGTCTGGCCTTGCATTCGGACGGAGGAGTTCGATGGCACATCATCGGTTGCCCAGCTGTCAGATGAAGCGTCGCTGCTGGTGCCTGTGGAGGACTTTGACGGGTTGAAGCTCAAACCTTGCAAGCGCTGTATCACAGTCTCCCCGAACATGTCTAGGAGGCGGAGAAGACCGAAGACGCAGCCGCTGAGAAGCCGGGCTTGCTGACATGCAGCAGGCTTTCCAATGCGTTTCTCCTTCAGAAGCTGTTTGGGAGGGTCCCGCGCAGAGGTTTAATCGCCTGGAACTAATCAATCCAGTCGATGATGCACTGGTGGTGACAAACTTGGGCACCTCAATCATTCTTGACATGGGACAGCCATCGTAGTTGAGCTCAGGTGGGAGATGCCAACTTGACTTTTTCTTACCTGCTGGCGCAACATCGTGAGGCCATGATATGGAACTCCATGTTTGTGAGTAGTTGAAAACAGTTGGACATAGTTGGACATGGGTGACAAAGCACGTGGACGACGCCAAAAAGGAGTTACCAATGCTGAAACACATGCAAACGTTGACGGGCTTTTTGTCTGAATGTGTTGCGCACGGGAGGCGCTCGGTCATGTTGGCCGCATCGTGGCAACTACCTTCGAGACCATAGAAGTCCTCAGAGACTTGCGCAATACGTTTTCTGAACCTGACCGTGACTTTTGCTTAGAACTACTCTTGTTGACCTACATGTTGAGATTGTCTATGCAGAAAATTTCCGGCGTTGACCAGAGGAGAGCGATATGGCGAGATTGAGCACACTGTCAAGGAGTTCCCTTTCGCATCTGGACACAAACCAACATCTGAGTTGGATTAGTCACAGGTGTGCTGTGATTCTATGAGTTATGTAAGGATAATGGAAAAGAAAATGGAAACTACTACAATGGAGTTATATAGGATAATGGAAAAGAGAATGGAAATCACTAAAGGGGTTATAAGTATAGTCCCCCTTAAGTAGATAGAATACGGCGTTGGGTATATTATAATAAGATCCCCATATACCCCATATTCTATGGACTTAAGGGGGATTATAACCCAGGAACGAGGTGCTGAGCTGCAAGCTTCCTGCGTCAGGAGCTTGAAGACAGGCATGCGGAAGTGCTGCACAACGTGGATGCCACACGTCTTGCCGTTGACCCACGCTTCCAGGCAAAGATGCATGCAGATAGCAATGCAGTGCCGACCAGAACGAACCAAGTGACCATGCAGCTAATCAAGCAGAAGCGGGTGTTGCGATAAGCTCCAGGGAATGCAGAACAGCTTCGGGGCGGTCTACTACAACTTTCCTCATGCTGGAGTTGTTCAAGGTTTTTTTGATGGCCACCCCTTCGTTAGCGCCGCGGCAGCACCTGTAGAGGCATGGGAGGCAACAGCAAAAGAAACCTGGTCTCCCAGAATTAGGGGTACCATTTTGGGGGTCCCCATAATAAGGATTATAGTATTTGGGGAAGTTACGTATGCCTTCGTTGTCCTTTGCGAATGCAGATCCATGTACATGTACATAGACTTGAGCAATCTGAGCTTCCCCGGTCAAATGTGTGTCCACTAATTCGCGTAAGAGTTGCACGCGCAAGGCTTTGCAACATCAGTCATTTTGAAGACTTGGCGTTATCACATTAAGGTGTTTGCCAGTTCCAAGAGATTCCATTCCTGAGGATGGAGACATGAGAACTTGATGCACCTCTTCTTCAGGGTGCCACTGCGCAATTATGGTCTTTTCGACATGACACATTGTTCAGACAGCTGTCCATTTCCTTCTTGCCTCATGGGTTGTTCTCAAAATATGGGCCCCTTTGAGTTATAGGCTATATTACGGCCTAATATTTAGGGGTACCAAAATGGGACCCAATTTTGGGAACTGCCCTCATCTAGTGGTTTCCCTCATGAAGCAGGCTTTGCGAGGCTTCGTCAAGCCCGGGGGCGTTGTAAAAGTTGCTTCCAACTCCAACGCCACAGGACCCCTCCAAGAAGAATAGCTTGCCCTGCACATGAGCCATAATCTACACTGTAAAGGGGGGGTTTCATAAGCTAAAGTCTAAACTCCTTAAAGGGGGCTATATAAGGGAAAATAGAGGGAACTGCTATAAGTCTTAGCAAGGGAGATGCTAGGAGTTCAGACGATAGCTCATACAGGGGATTGCATAGGGGAGTATTGTAGGGGTTAGTAAGGGGGATACTAAGAGTTTAGACTATAGCTCGTATAACTGCCTGCTTGTCTTTGGCCATCTTTTCAGGAGTTCGGTGCCTCGTCATGAACAAGCTGTGTTGCAGCGTTTGCCGGGCCACGGTAGAAATTCAGCAGTCTTGCAATTTTTTGGTACCGACCATCTAGAGTGGGCATCGTGCATGAGAGTTGACAAGCAGCTCTTTTCCTTCAGCAACCTTCTTTCTTATGTTGCACATACATTCCCAGCTCTCTGCGAATTCCTGACGGCGTGCGTTTCCCGATCGCTTGTTCGTTTGCTCGCCAATTTTATGGGCTACTATGAGGATCCCTTCCTCCAATCCCTTCTGGCGACCAGAGCCATCCCGTGTTGTTGCCGTACATGTTTGAGTCGCGGCAGATACCGCCTTTGGATGGGTATTTTTGCTTGTCTCCGCTGTTTCCATTCTAAATTGATACTTGCACGACCGCCCTGGTATGTATTATCAAGCAGTTACCAGAAAATGGACTTCTGTCGTTGTTGCCACGTGACTGAAGCTGTTATTCTTGAGGGGCTCAGGGGCACATATCCGTGGGCCCATCCCAGTGATTGAGAATCAGCATCAGCAATGTGGGTTACAAAAGGGCTCCTTTTTGATCTCAAAATGCAATTCCCGTGCCTTCACTGCCCCGAAAAGCTCAAAGGTTTTCGAGACATTTGAGAAATCCATGTGGCGGTGGCAGCGGCCAAATTATGGGTCCTTTCTGAGATCCCGTCTGAGGTGCCCTATGTAACAAGGAACATGTTAAAATGGGGGCCCATGCCGGGACGATGAGTCAGAACAGCCCCCAGTCAAAGCCGTGAGTGTGATCTAGCCCTTATAAGAACCCTAAACCCTGATCAGACTCGACACACTCTTCTCTCACCGGCAAAGGTTTTCGGACATACTGAGTGGAGCTCAAAACAGTGCCTGAAGCTGCATCCATTGAGAATCTCTGTTTCAAGGTATAGTCCCCCTTAAGTAGATAGAATGTGGGGTATATGGGGGGTCTTATTGTAATATACCCAAAGCCATTTTCTACCGACCTACTTAAGGGGGACTATAGCCATCTACTGTTGCGAGGCGAATTCCAGCATGTGGAGACAATGCCCTTCCTGGAGTGGAGCTTGAGGCTGCTGTTTTGCAGCTTTTGCTTATCGGAGGTGATGAGGTCGAAATACAGTCCCCCATTAAGTAGATAGAACACGGAGTATATGGGGATCTTATTCTCATATACCCGTAGCCATATTCTATGTACTTAAGGGGAACTATACAGTCAAAAACTGTAATACCGTACTTAGCAACGCACGTAGATCTACCCATGGCCGTTTAAGCAAGTACAAACTTCTCTTGCAAACTGTTCTCAGGTCTTACCATCGGTCTTATGGTGACAGGCGGGACTCCAATCGACGACCGGACGAAAAGGTCACCGGTCGGCAAATGCAAGTTGCAGCAGCAATCCTGTTTGAATTCCTTGCCTCCTGTTTCGTGCTGCAGGAAAATTACCGCTGCCAATCCAAGGGCTCCGACATGGTCGAGATCCTAGAATCGTAGTATTCACGATAAAATATCAAAAGCAGCAAGAATAGTAGTAATTATGGTAATAATGATAAAACAGCTTGCTAGAGCTAGTACTTGGATTAATAATAGTAATAGTATAGCTTGCTAGAGCTTCAGGTTTCTGCCATTCTTCGCCCTGAAGCCAGCCTGACATTTGGCGCGCGCATCAGGTTTACACATTTCGGTATGAACCCAGTGGAAGCACTCCGCCCAAGGCACTCATCAGGCCCTGCGAAATTCAAGCTTAGGGGTATTTTTGTGGGGTCCTCAAAATAAGGATTGTAATATTGGAGGGTCTATATTGGTGTCCCCTTACTTCCAGTTGCTTAAGCAGTAGAATTCCAAGGCTTCACGAGCCACAGAGGCGAGCTCTAGGAAACAGACATATGTCTTGAACGTACCGGATGAAAGAGTAAATGCTATGTAGCAGCCGACCCCAAAAAAGGCACCCAACAATTTCGGGAACTACCCATGTGCAAGTTGCCTTCATGGTCGCAGGAGGCCTCCCACGAAAGATGACCTGTTCCTCTCGAAAGAGGGTAAGATGCCATCAAGTCACTCCCTCATTTGCTTGCGCGATGCAGGGTTATGTAGGGGTTATATGGGGCTTATATAGGCCCCTTTGAGGGGGTTATAGGGGTCTGTGGGGATTACATATAGGGGTAAGGGATAAGTTGACACTGCTTTTAAGTTTGGACGGCTCATGTCCCAGCTCTGCGTCATGATGCGAGGCGCAGAGCAAAAGCGGCGGAGGTTGGAGGACCGTTTTCACTGAAAGTAGGGGAGAGCTCGGCCAGCCTGGGGTGTAGAATAATTCCGCGTGAGCTGCTTGTTTTTTCCTGGATTGAATTCGCAGCTTGCTGAAGAAGGAGTTGCAAGCGCTAGGAAACAAACATGTTTCCCGTATATTAGCCATGATGAGTGGCGGTGTTCGAGTCTCAAGTTCGGAGGTCCAGGCCTGCCCTGAAAGCACGAGTAACCCAGCTTGGTGGCGCTCGTCGTCTCTCAGGCTTCCCGTTCTAAAGCCTGGCCCACATCCATTGCATCAGCAGGGCTTGCGATAAGAGAGCTTGGTGTTGGCACGATGAGTTTACAACGGGGCAGCGGTGCCTTGGAAATCACTCCAACGCTGCCGCCGATGACCCTTTGCCACTTGCAGCAACAATGGGCGAGGATGACCTCGTGTGTGATCCGGCTTGGGCATGAGGTGTATGCTTGAAGCAACCTGAGGGCTTTCAGTGTTGTGGCATGATGGGCATGGCAGCCTTGTCTCGTTTTTCTCTGCCAGCTGCTCCTGCAGGAAATCTACGAGCTCTTTCTCACTTACGTCCAAGGTATCCACATCGGGTGAGCGCACGAGATGACGCCTCACGCAAGCGTTTCACAGCTGGAGCTCGAGGACTTGTAGCTGCATTCACCAAGCAGGCCAAAGCAGCCAAGGCAGGCCACCAGGCTTTGAGCATGGTTGAGCTAGGCATGCCTACCGCAGCGAGGATGGTCGGGCCATATGGAGGGGAAAAGTGCGCGTTCATCACCACATGCCCATGCACTATCCGCGAGCGTCTCTGTCATTGGGGTCAGCTCCGCACGCTCACCTGCATCCCGAAATCCTCAGCTGTCGCACATGGTGCTGAATGAGCCGCCAAGAACTTTTGTCGAAGAAGAACATCGCCAGATGGATGCTGAACGAACACCCGCAGGTTTCCGCCATTACCTTCGCAACCTCCGCAAATCTGAATCCTCACCTCAGCGCGTACGATGCGACATGTTCATTGCGAACAGTGGCTTGTCTACTGGCCAGTTCTGGAGCCTCGCCCAAGCTGGGGAATTTTGTTGGACTACCTGCTGGCAGGTCTTCATGCCGGCTGGCTGCCAAGTGGGAGTCCTTCAAGCACTGCTAGGCCTGAGAATGAAACTTGCATTCCATTCGACAGCCAAATCCCGTTTTTCTCCTTCCCAGGCCGATTAGCTTTGGATACTCAATCCGAGGCCGTTTGCCATGTATTGTCGGCACGTGCTATTTGTAGTTGCTGTCTCTGGGAGCCTCAGAGGAACGCATAGCCGCACTTTGGCGCCCGTCTTCCCTGGCGGGGGCACTGCAGCTGGCACAGGCAGCAGTGTTCTCTTCATGTGCAGCTAGCAAAGCTAGCTTTTCTTAAACCTTCTGAGCAGGTAGCCTCCATGCTGCAGATCGAGGAGATCATGCCGGAGCTCGTCACTCTGATTTCACAGCAGGCAATGGCAAGTGGAGCAGACGCAGCAGAGTTGGAGGCAGGACGCTTGCAGAAAGTGATGCTCTTTGGTGCAAGAGTCGCCATCTCACTCCCCAGGCTGCATGCCAGCGATTGCAGTCCGAAGCCCAGGTCATCAGGCCAGCCAACATGATGATTCTTGTGCGACATGTCCTATTCCTGAGCTGCTTTGGCCCACGAGTCGGCATCAAGTGTGCTAGTAGTGATACGCTCCCTCCAGGCAAATTCAGAATAGCCTCAGTTGAAAAGGACGCAGATCAACCGCCAGACAGACCACCTGCCTAGACGTCCAACTATTTACGAAGTCGAGATTCCCTTTAAGAAGCAAATGCATGGACGTATCAAGCTTCAGGATGTGGGTCTTAGCGTGCGCTTCCCACAATAGCAGTACCATGACCAATTGGCCGGGCAACCGGCCCACCAGGCAGCAAGCTTTGCATGAAATTTTTGTGCTCCCACCAGTGGATGCGACCAGACACCCCAGCTTCACTACCCCAAGCCTAGCCCTGCAAGCCCTAGATCAACGCCTTTTGCTTCTGTGCCATGTCAACGCCCGCGCCTCCGCGTCGGCAGCATTTTCTGCTTTGTGGCCTTCTTGGTGGCGCATCAGGGCAATTTGCCTTCAAGATCATGATCCCTGCCCATCTGCATCTCATAGCATAATGGGAAACGACACGCCTGTAGAAACGATCTGTGTGGGACTGTAGGAGGGGAACTGCAGAATAAGGAAAGTTTCAGTTTGGGCGCTGGAACATGGCTTGCCTTACATATTTCTACATGTTGTTCAAGTTTCTTTGAGAACCGTCTTGCCGAGGGAGAATCCCTATGTAGTCCCTATACAATCCTTACATAATGGATTCCCATAACCCTCAGTAAGCAACAGGGTGCGCATGTCACGCCCTTGAGCCTAAGGCTTTTAACCGCCTACAGTCTCAACGCCTATCGCAGCCTAGCAGCACGCAGCTTCTTGTTATTACTAGTATTACTATCACTGCTTGTCCGTCTATCGTTTTTAGAGTCCACGCCAATTGTGACTTGTTTTTATACTGTTGTCTTGCTGCAAGGAGACCGCGGGGTTGAGGTCCTCCGTCGGTACGCAGAGGCCCGGCGCGAAAAGCTGCCTCTGAGGGTCATACTAGTTCGCGTCTCGGATGCAATCATGGATGCTAAGACTGGTCTGGTCAGAAACTTGAGCATGTGCATTAGTCATGTCATCTAAGGACACGGCCAATCAGAAGGGAGGCTTGGCTCAAAGGTTTCTTAACAATCTTGCAGAGCACCTTACTGTCACATCGTTGGCATATGGCAGTCGAAAGAGCGCATGCGTGCAATGGCAGCAATGGTAGGCTGGCTCTGATCTTGCAAAGGAACCTTGACAAATCACTCTTCAAGACGAAGGGCGACAACCTCATGGAACTCACTGAGTCCTATCCTTAGGATATCCTTACTTCTACCCAGGTCCTTGGGGCTTGTGAGAGTTCTTGTTATCGCTGTTTTCTGAGCCTCTCGAATTCACCAAAAATTAATCCCCAAACGGGAGGAAACACAAGAAAGCCGGAAAATGGCTCCGTTTTCAATTAACTCTAGTATCAGTATCGTCTGCTTACCATCTCTTTATACACGTCTTGTAATTTCGGCGGGCGACAGCAGCCTACTACTATCTCACTTTGGTTCGGGTGAAACTACACATGGATAAGCCAGCGGTTCGACAACACCAAACAACATCCCCGACATATCACAATATCGAAAATAAAGGAAAAATGCGCTTGAGAAAATCTGGTGCTATCGAACTGCCCTCTGCATGTCTTCATTCTAGGGTAAGCCCGCGGCTCGAAACACCAAATTTTCTGCAAGGAGATGCTTCAGAAAATTTGGTGCTACCGACTCGCCCCCTTTTTGTCCTTCATTTGAATAACACAAAGGGCACCATAGACATATCATAATATCGAACACAAAGGAAAAAACGCTTGAACAAATCTGGTGCCATCAAACCTGTCTCCATACTAGGATAAGCCAGCGGTTCGACAACACCAAATTTTCTACAAGGAGATGCTTCAAAAAAATTGGTGATATCGAACCGCCGCTTTTTGTCCTTTATTTGAATAACACAACAGGCACCATAGACATATCATAATATTGAACATGAAGGAAAAAGCGCTTGAGAAAATCTGGTGCTATCGAACCGCCCCTTGTTTGTCTCCATACTAGGATAAGCCAGCGGTTCGACAACACCAAATTTTCTACAAGGAGATGCTTCAGAAAATTTGGGGATATCGAACCGCCCCTTTTGTCCTTTATTTGAATAACACAAAGGCTACCATAGACATATCATACTATTGAACACAAAGGAAAAACGCTTGAACAAATCTGGTGCCATCCAACCTGTCTCCATACTAGGATAAGCCAGCGGTTCGACAACACCAAATTTTCTACAAGGAGATGCTTCAGAAAATTTGGTGATATCGAACAGCCCCTTCTGTCCTTTATTTTATCTTAATATTGAACACAGGAAAAAGCGCTTGAACAAATCTGGTGCCATCCAACCTGTCTCCATACGAGGATAAGCCAGCGTTCGACAACACAACTCTAGTACAGAATTCGCCGTTTTCTGAGCCCCTAGAATCACACGAGAAATTCATCCCCAAATGGAAGGAAGGAACTCCACGAACCCCAGGAAATTGCTCTGTTTTCAAGTAACTCTAGTACGGGAATCGCCGTTTTCAGAACCTCTAGAATTTAGCACGAAATTCGTCCCCAAACGGGAGGAAACCCAGGAAAGCTGGAAAATGGCTTTGTTCTCAATTAACTCTAGTACAGAAATCGCCGTTTTCTGAGCCCTAGAATCGCCCAGGAAATTCATCCCCAAGTGGAGGAAACCCAGGAAAGACCGAAAAGTGGTTCCAAAGCCAATTAACTTTAGTGCAGAACTCGCCGTTTTCTGAGTTTCTGGAACTCACCAGGGAATTCATCCCCGAATCAAAACTTGCGCTCCCGTGCGGAGCATCCTGAAAATTTTGAAGGAACTTGAATTTGCGCTCGCGTGCGGAATATCTTCAAAATTCCGTCGGTTTTTAGCTCAAAATCGCATTCCCGTGCGGGGCATCCTGAAAATTGTGATGAGAATTGCGCTCCTGTGCGGAGCATTTCTGCGTCAACAACCGCACTCCCGCGCGGAGCATCCTTAAAATTTCGTCGTCTTTTCATCAGAAATCGCGCTCCCGTGCGGAGCATCCTCAAAATTCGGTCGATATAAGGCTAATCATAAGGGTATATCTAGGGGGTCATAAACCTTGTAAATCGTCAAGCAAATTTACATGACGATTTATGTTCTCTTTCGAGTGCCGTCGGCGACAAGGGCTACGGCACCTACAACTTCTTCTTCTTCAAATTTACATGACGAGCTGGCTGTGGATCCGCGCCTCCGCGTGGTGCCAGCGGGCTCGTAGGCTGACGCCCTGTGAGTGCGAAAGTGAATCCAGAAAATCAAGAAAGATTGAAGACCCCAATGAAAAGATAATTAGTTCGGTGCCCACTGGGGCCAATGAAAAACTGAGAAAAGACCCTGAGGGGCAAAAAATCCAAAAAGAAAAGAAAAAAGTAATTAGTCACAAGATCCAACGCCAGGGGCAGGCG